AAAAAAAAAAAAAAGAGTGAATAAGCATAGTAATAAAACCTTTGAAGATATGAATGAAAGAGATTATACAAGAGAAATGCAATGATTCAGATTGAAAAGCTGGCAAATGAGTTATTCATCAATAATTAACATTTATACCTATAGCAATTATTGTAAAATTAAGTTTTTATTAACTTTCAATGAACAAATATCAATACTTTAAATTGGCAGTGTGACTATGGTGGCATTTTAACACCACAATTTTTTTTTTTTCCCACACATATATTTTTTAATTGAATAGTTTTCTCCTATGGCCCATATCACACTGAGAGGGTGAAGATTAATAATACCCCCAACTATGGGCTCATGAAGAACAATCTACCACTAAAAGAAAATATATGCTAGTTATAGAAAAAACAAAAGGCAACTGCTGTTGTGCTTTACATTTTCAGTTAGCAAACTGAAAATTTCCTTTTGCCCAAAGGAAAGAGTGCCACACTGTAGACCTTATAAATTATGATCAACTGGTACTTTAGCAAATACCAGTATCTGTGCAAGCCAAGATGGACGCCAAGACTGGAAAGGATTGAATGATGAGAAGACATAATACATGACCCATTCTGCATCTACAAGACATCTTAGATTGTTTTTTCTTTCTCTCCTTTTTCAGAAGTATTGCCAAAAAAAAAGAATGCTAGGAGCCATTACAAGATTTCAGGTCAATAATCTCCAATACCGAATTAATAGAGGATTCTTTCCATTCAAAAAAGAGCTGTTTATAAGTCATCGTAGGACTTCAAAGCTTCAAATAGCTTTCACCTACAATGACCACTTTATCTTAAACCTCTAATTTTTGAAATGCATTTAATAACTATTCATTGCTCAGTTATTTGAATATCATTCAGGACTAAGGGCTTTAGTCTACATAGGCAAAATATTTATTTCCATATGTGTTAATATTGCTTAATTAATGCCTGTATCAGAAACAATGTTTTTTGCCTTTTAATAATTTAATTTTTAAGTAGTTCTTCTGTCTATTTTTGAAGTCCACCAAAAGAAGGAGATATCTGTTATGAATGCTCAGACTTAATAAAAAAATAGTCTTTAAATGCAAATGTATATGCATGTATTAGACAATTCTAAAAGAAAGTGTGAGGGTAAAATTTTGCCAGTAGTTGTTCTTGACTTGTGATAATCCAAATACACTTACAAACTCATAAGATTATCTTCTTAAAAAAAAATATTATTCTGTTTGATAAGCAGTGAGTTATGTGCTAGAATTTGAAAAGCTTACCTTCATTCTGCCATTATAGTTCCATTTCATTTATTTTTTTAATTTAATTTTATTATATTATGTTAGTCACCATACAATACATCACCAGTTTTCGATGCAGTGATCCACGATTCATTGTTTTCATACAACACCCAGTGCTCCATGCAGTACGTGCCCTCCTTAATACCTATCACCGGGCTAACCCATTCCCCCACCGCCCTCCCCTCTAAAACCCTCAGTCTGTTTCTCAGAGTCCATAGTCTCTCATGGTTTGTCTCCTCTTCCGATTCCCCCCTTAATTTTTCCCTTCCTTCTCCTAATGTCCTCCATGCTATTCCTTATGTTCCACAAATAAGTGAAACCATATGATAATGGACTTTCTCTGCTTGACTT